TTGGATGTTTATGTAAAGAATTTCGTTGAAAAGGAGATCTGTCTAACAAGTTCCCCGCGTGAAATGCCGTGATGGTGTTTTCTTTTTCTATCTCTCTCTTTCTCTCTCTCTCTCTTCCTTTGCTCCCTATTTGTTTCTCTCTGTGTGTGTATGTCTGCCGCTTCCGATTTTCACTCCCTTCCTTCCTACTGACTCCTTTACGGGGTACAAAATATGGGGTTTCCCTGCTGAACTTGAGGCCCGGCCATATGCGTTTTTATTATTATTATTTTAACTTCCGCCTAGCCATCTCGGAAGATTGTTTCCCGTTGTGCCTCGTTGCACAGTGGATGCTCCACCTGTGAATATGGTGAAGTATGTGTGTGTGCGTGAGAGAGGGGGGAGGGGGGGAAAGAGCTCCGTTGCTTCTTTTGGTGCTTCTGCCTGTGTGTGGGTGTGGGTGTGCGTGCGGACGTGCCTCAGTTGACTTCTGCGCCTCTCCCTCTCTCCCTTTTTTCCCTTTGGAGGTGGGTGCGCGGGTGACTTCCCTGACCCACCAGGAGCAATGAGCAAATCTGTAGGGCACCTCTTCCGCGTCGACGCATCTCTGCAAGAATACTTCGACGTATGTAACGACGAGGACAGCTGTGAGGAGGAGTTTGACGACGAGAGCGACCAGGACTCGCCAAACTACTGGCGGTCGTCACGTCTCTCCCCGCTCAGGGGAAAGGCGCGGCTGAGTTTGCGCCAGCGCAACTCCGTTCAACATGCGCTGATGAGTCAGCAGGCCGCCCCTCGTCGGGGTCGCGACGCGGCGGCGGCGGCGTCGGTATTTGCCAAGCCACTGAGTGCCACTGTGGAGGTGGGCGACGAAACGACAGAGGGGGCGGCGGGGATTTTAACCAACGGCATGCAAGAGAGCACCGCCGAGTGCCTCTTCTTTGACGCCCTCTGTGCGCTACACCAGTCCCCGAATGGAAGTTTTGAGGTGACGCCCTCCCAGCAAAGCGAGGGTCCGCCGGTGTGGTCCCTGCGCAAAGGAGTTGCCGCGGCCGAGACGTGGGAAGCGGCCTCTTTTTGTTTGCGCTCACTTATTGAGGCGCTTCTCGTTGGGGCCAATGATGTGGCGCGGGCTCAGTGGCTACTGGAGTTACTTGGGATGTCTTTGTCCCGGGAAAATGCAGGTGCCATGGCGGATGCCTTCACGGACTACTCTCAAACTTGCACGGGGGAAGAGGCTTTGCGCCTTGCGGCGCGCTTGGTCCTGTCCCGCTTTGCCTCCGTCGTACGCCAGTTGATGCAGCGGGTAACGAGTTGGGCATTGCAGATGCAGGAAAGGTGTGGTGCCGCCAATCTCCAAGGGTTTCTGCGGCCTAGTCTGCATAAGAGTATTGAAAAGGCACTCTTGCCTTTACGGCGTTGCATTCATTTGATGGGGCGTTCCTGCAGTCTGACGGGTGAGCGTCCTCCCACTGGGGGTTCTAGTGCAAAGACGGAGGTGAACGCTGTCACCCGCGCCTCAGCTCTCATGGACCATCTCATTGTTCGCCTGAGTGCACTGCAGGACAGCAACACGATGTATCTTTACCGTTTCTACATGGTTCTCTTGATATATTGCAGTTGGCCCTATGTGCTCCTCATGACATCGGCTATCTTTGGCTTTGTGACGGATATTGACGCGGACGCGTGGCGCTCAAATTTTCCACGCATATTTCGTTTGTCATTTTCTCACATTCGAGTCGGCGACCACAGCAGGAGTGACCGCAAAATAGTGACGCTGCCCACAGATATTCTTTCCCTTCTGCTGCTGTGCGTCGGGTACGAGCGGGTGGAGGCGGACGGAAACTGCCGTGATGAAGGCGGGAAACGGAGGCGCGGCGTCAACCGTGCGAGAAGACGTGCGGCATTTGCATCGATGTTGTCGTCTCGGAGTTTTATTTTGCGCAGTTTTGTGGCCTTCGCACGGCAAAAGGTGCTCGTTGGCTGGACTCGCAAGCGATCCGTCGATGGGCGTCCCGCGGGAGATGAATGGCTGAGATTCACACAACGGGGAAAGGAGGCAGCGGGCTGCTTTGCCTCCGCCTCCGCCGCCCTGCCGCTTGCGCTCTGCAGCGACGGCGAGGACGGATGCACGCCGCTGTGTCTCGAAAGTCTCATGTGGACGTTGCAAGTAGAGGAGACGAAGACTCAGCACGATTTACTGCTCCGTGACGGCACGACGGAGGGAAACGGCAAGCCGCTGCTGCTCTGGCTTCACACTTCCTTGCCAGCTGCCAGATGGGTGACGGCGAGCCTCTTAGTTCCCATTGGACAAGTCGTGCAGCGCTTACACGAGCGACGACTGGCGGAGTTGCTCTCGACTAACGTTGCACGTGACCGTGTGGGGTACCAAGCCGCCAATCTCGAGGACAATGGTGATGCTGACGATGAGGATGATGAACTGCCTGTTGTGGAACTCGCCGAGCGCTCAGCCACGGGAGGTGGAGAGGGCATTACCGGCCCTTTACGACGCGGCGGCCCGCTGCCACCGGTCCCTGCTGGTAGTGGCGTTGCTGGCAGGACTGCAGTTGAGGCGGCACTAACGCCACACGGTGTTACCTTTCGGGACGCCGTGAGCTTACTCATTGATATTGCGCTTTGTCGTGATAGCGATCGTATTGTGTACACGTTTTTGTACCGACTCTTCCTTGAGCCGCACTGGTGGTACCGGCGTGACGCGATGAGTTACAATTACACGGGTACTGCCTCAAGTTTGATTTCCACCGCTTTCTCGGATTCCATTCGCGGAAAGGCACTTGCTCCGTTTGTTCGGCTCTCGGTGACGCCAAGGTCGGAAGCCGATGCTTCCCCGGCCACTGGCGACGATTCTGCGCTTGAGCTGCTTCGGACGTTTGCCTCCTTTGAGCTTCACTTTTCTTTTCCATGGGACATTGAGTTGATTTTGCTTCCCTTGAACCTCTCCGTCGCGTGGGGGGACGCGGGTAGCGTTCAGGAGAAATACGCATCCTACTTTTGGAGGAATCGACGCCGCGGTGAGGCAAAGAAAGGGAGAAGCGAGACTGTGAAGGTGACGTCCGCGGCGGCGGGGGTACAAGAGCAGCACGAGAGGCAAGGGCTTCGGTTGTCTGATGGCCACGGGATGCGGGCGTGGGACAGCTGGAGCTACTGCTTTGGCTACCTCTGCTCCTTGCACTATGCCCAGATCTCCCTTCGGGAGCAGCGGAAGCGGCTGCAGCAGCGGGATATTGTCTCGCATAACCTCATGTCTGCGCTTGGCAGCTCGTCGCAGGCCGAAAACCACACGGCGCGTCTCACTCGCGGGCTTGGCAGCGCCTACTTTGAGCTTTCTTTTGCCGTGGACTCCCTGCTTAGTTTTACCCAGAACATTGTGGGTGGCGTGGCCCGGGAGTTGGAGGGGGAACTGACCAAGTTGGGGGCGGTGGGGTCTTGCATAGAGCTGTGCCAGCGCCTCGACGCCCTCCTCCTTCGCCTCGGCTCTGTGTGTTTTCCAGTTGCCCCGCAGCCGGAGGACGCGGTTCCGTTGGCCGATTTTCTCCCTGTCCGTGAAAGCATCGCCGCGGTGCTCACAATTGCGTTGAACCCCACCACATTGCCGCTGAGGCACATCACGTCTAGAACTCAGAATGCGATTGAAGCGCTTGTGGCCGTGGTACGTGCGCTGCCGGCGGCGTCCGTGCTGAAGGAGAAGGTTAGTCCTTTGCTGGTTCTCTTAACATTTAACCGCTTCTACGGCGAATGAGGCGAATGGGACAGGCCAGCTTTTCTGGACGTTGCAGTTTCATTCTGAGTGCGTGGGAGTGTGTGTGTGTGCGTGTGTGTGTGTGTATGCGTGTTGCGTTCGCCGCCGGCCGCGGCTGCGCTGGATGACTGCTCTCCTCCGTTTTTCGCATTGCGCCGCAGCTGCTGCGATCACCCACATCCAAGGAAGCGAAACAAAAAAGGCCGACGGGTCCACGACGTGGGTTGCACACTTCGCTTCCCCCCGTTTCTTCGTCTTTTTGTTATTGTTGTTATTTTCTGGGGAACCCAAAGGTTGAGAAAAAGGAGGCAGATAATTGAAGCAACAGCACAACCCGTAAAGCGAAAGAGAAACGCAGAGTGTGAGAGGGGCCCAAGGAGGAGGAAAAGAAACAAACAGAAAAGTCAATAATAATAAAAAAAAGAAGTAAACAAAAAAGGATAAGTGGCTGAGGGACAGTACACAATGCGGCGAAGGCAGGATTCGAAAACGGATGAGGAACTTTTGCCCCACGTGGCACAGGCTCTCCCCAAAACACGAAGGGGACTCTTTGGCAGGCAGCTGCTAAGCACGCTCAAGCTGAGTATCCTGCTGCGAGTTCGTTCCCCTATCAGCAGCATTGTGGAAATCCTCATTCCTATCATCTTCATCATCGGCACGGTCATATTATCACGGCTAATGAAGGATGAGGGTCATAAAGGTGGGGACTTTGTGAGTTACCCTGCAACTACGTTTGCACTTAAGCAACAGTCCGAGATACTTTCTTCGTTGTGTTACAACGTCACGATGAGCGGGGCGGCGATTGATGGCTTGAGGTCTTGTGCAGCTAGTGGGGGTGAAGTGCGTTGCTTTGGCGCTGCAGATGGACTGCCACTTGACGGAATATGCATTCAGACGGATAAGCCACCAAAAATGTTCGCACTGACGGTCTTTGGAGTGCTCTCAAGCTACGGTGCTAGTATGATGCCTGTTCCATCTTTCGATGAGATTGTCAAGATGCAATGGGTGGCAAAATGCCTTATGCAACTGCTCGGTTCGGCGCGACTACCTGGCAGCATTGGTTATTCTGGTTGGCTTTACGCCTCCCCCAGGAATGCCTACACGGAGTCGTTGGTCTCGTACTTAAACGAGACCACGTCACTCTTCAAGTATGTGTTTGCTCGATATTTTGACAGCATCGCCGAAGCCAACGACCACTTGCATAATCCCAAGGGGCTTGTGGGGAATTGGGGCGTGGTTCACGTGAACAGCTTCTCTCGTGACCTTACAGAGCCTCGGCTAGACATTATCATTCGCCTCAACGCCAGTGCACTCCCAAAGACCTCAGCTGTGGTGTCTCAAACCTACTCGGGTGGTCTAACTCAGCATGCTTCCAAGTACATCCTCTCGGGCTTTCTCACGTTGCAGAAGGAGGTGTATAACTACTTCATTTCAAAGGAAATGCGACTGAAAGAGTTGCCAATGCCGTTTCTTGCACCAATGGGAACGGTGGACTACATCGATAGAACATTCTTATTACGCGCCGGCAACATGGTCCCTCTGCTGGTGGTGCTTGGATTTTTGTATCCTGTGTCGCAAGCCACCAAGCGCATTGTGTTGGACAAGGAGCTACGCATGAAGGAGGCCCTGCTTATCATGGGGTTGCGACAGAGAGTTCAATACCTTGCATGGTTCCTTCTCGCCATGACGCAGTACGTCTTTGTGTCACTCATCTGTGCCGTCCTCATGAAGGTCACATACTTGAGGAATTCGGACTTTGGAGTGATATTTTTTCTCTTCTTTTTATTTTCATTGACGACGGTTGCCTTGTCGGGGCTCATCGCCTCATTCTTTTCCAAATCGCGGCTTTCATCTGTGATGGCTCCACTCATTTACTTTATGTTGGCAGCTCCGTTTTTTGCCATTGGGAGTGTCGGCGGCGGTGTTGTGTCGGCGCTTTGTCTCTTGTCCCCGTCAGCCTTTGCAAAGGGGCTCATGCTGTTGTTCAAACACGAGCTTTCTGTCGGCTTCGCCAGAGGAGACTTCAGCAGTCGCTTTGACAGACCAAATATGACTTTCATCTTTAGCATCTTGGCGGTGGACTTGCTTCTCTACCTCATGCTTATGCTCTACCTGGACGCCGTGGTACCAAATGACTGGGGAACCCCGAGGCATCCGTTCTTCTGCGTTCTTGAGCCTATTTTCCTCCTCTGCAGAAAGAAGCGGGAGTGGGATCGCGACGAGGACGGTTGCAATCCGGATGGCCTCTTTGAACCATACACGGAGGGGGAATTGGCCAAGACGACTGTGAAAATTTCTGGTCTCACAAAAGGCTTTACGAGAGGGGGTGAGAAGTTCCTTGCGGTGAATCACCTGCACTTGGGCCTCGTTGAGGGGGAAATCTCCGTCTTACTGGGCCACAACGGCGCCGGGAAGTCGACCACGATGAACATGATGACAGGAATGCTTAAGCCCGACGAGGGGGACTGCTACGTTTACGGTCATTCCGTCCGCAAGGACTTGCGTGGGGCACGACAAGAAATTGGCTTTTGCCCTCAGCATAACATTTTGTGGCCAGAACTCACCTGCCGCGAGCATCTTGAATACTTTTCCAGCATCAAGGGGCTGACGGGGGATGTTCAGAAAGAAGCCATTGAATCGATGCTCAATGGTGTGGATCTGCAAGAAAAGCGTAACTGCGTCTCCTCGGCACTCTCTGGAGGGCAACAGCGAAAACTTTCCGTTGCCGTGGCGTTTGTTGGCAACAGTCGTCTTATTTTTCTTGATGAACCCACAGCAGGCATGGACGTAGCGGCCCGTCGTCACATGTGGGATCTCGTGCGAAGAATGTCGAGGTGTCGGACGATTATGCTGAGCACACATTTCATGGATGAAGCAGATCTGCTTGGCGACCACATCGCGATTATGAGTAAAGGCTCACTGCAGTGCAGAGGTAGCAGCGTCTTTCTAAAGTCAAATCTTGGTGTTGGGTACAACATCACGCTTTCTGTGACAAGTGTTGCATCTCCACAGTCGATTGGGTCCCTTATTCGATCTCATGTTCCACATGCGGAATTGTTAAGGTGCACTGCCGGAGAAATCTCCTACCGGCTGCCCATGTCCTATGTGAAGGAGTTCCCCTCAATGCTGCGTGAGGTTGAGACGCTGGGGAGCAGGTACGGCGTGCAGAACTACACACTTTCCGCAACCACCTTGGAAGAGATTTTTATTCGTATTGCCCATGGAGAAGGGGTGCGAGTGGCCCAAGCGGTAGGGGGGCGGTCGGGACATCAGCTGGAAACGCTTGCGGGACCGATGTCGAAAGCAAACCGAAACGAAAGCCCTGTCGAGGAGTCAGTGGCCATGGACGCGCACGTGGCGAGTACGTTCAGCCCACCCACGGGTGCAGGTGAAAAGGGCCCTCCACAAGAAGTGACGTCACAGTTCCACGCCAACTGGGGCACAAAACTTATTGAATCGGAGTCCGAACTCATGTCGTCTCAGTTCAAAGCTTCCTTGGCGAAACGTTATCTCAATGCCATACGTGATCGTCGTACGCAATTTATTCAAGTCGCATTCCCAGTCATTATGCTTGTTTTTGCTTTGCTTCTTAACATGGTGGACTTCATCCATCACCCGTCGCTTTCACTTTCTTCGGAGATGTATAAGGAGCACGTTCAAATTGATGTGGCCAACTGCAAGGATACCATCGACACGTCCAGACCTTTTTCCGAGTCGACGTCGTTCTTTGTTCATGAGGATATTATGGGCGCCAAGGACTTTTCCTCATATCTTATTAAAAGCTACAAAGCACATTCGCTGAGCCGGTATACGGCTATTGCCTGTGGCGATCCTGTCTATAAAGGTGCAACGGCTCTCTTTGTCAACGCATCTGCCTTACATGCTGCCGCCGTGGGTATGGTCGGATTTTATGGTGCGGCGCTGCAGAAGGCTGTACCCACTTTGTCTGTGCCACATGCGGAAGACATTTTCCAAGTAACTAACTTCCCCATGGCCCGAACAAAACGTGAAGGGGCGTTTCTCGATACGATGAAAGCGGTACTCATGAGTATTTTGATCATGATTCCATTTTCGTTTATCCCCTCGACCTTTGTGTCCTTTGTGGTGAAGGAACGGGAGTGTAAGGCGCGTCATTTGCAAAATGTCTCAGGGTTGCGGTTCTCCATCTATTGGTTGTCAAACTACATCTTTGACCTCTGCTGCTACCTCATTACGATGATATTGGTGATTATAGTCATGCTAATATTTCGGAGGAAGGAGTACGTTTCGGCCACAACATTTGGTCCTACCTTCCTGCTGCTTCTGGCGTACGGGTTCTCATGCATTGCCATGGCGTATATGGTTTCATTTTTCTTTAAGGAGCACTCCACGGCGCAGAATGTTGTGTTGCTGGCCAATTTTGTTACTGGATTCTTGTTTGTTCTGTTGGCGGTTATCCTTACCATGTTGCCAGAGACGCAGAAGACGGGCGAGGGACTCAAGTGGGCGTTCCGCGTCTTCCCTAGTTACTGCATTGGCGAGGGCATTGTGAATTTGGCCTCGTTGCCAGGCCGACAAGGCATGAGCGACACCACAGTCTCACCGTGGAGCCTCAGTGTCATTGGTTTTCCAGTTATCTACATGGCGCTTGAAATACCGCTCTTCCTGCTGATTACAATCTTTTTGGATCATCCGACGCGGCGCATGCGCACGGAGATGATGTTCCATCGATCAGGCGCCGAGGTGGAGTTGATCCCTGACGAAGATGATGATGTGGCGATGGAGCGGCGCCGCATCGCTGGGGCAAATAACGGCGTGTCAGAGGATCTTGTCCGGGTAGTGAACCTGCGCAAGGTGTACGGCAATGGTAATGTCGCCGTACGCAATTTGAGCTTTGGCGTTCATCCTGGGGAGGTGTTTGGGTTTCTCGGTACTAACGGCGCTGGTAAGACGACGACGATAGCTATTCTTTGCCAAGAAATGGTCCCAACCAGCGGACAGGCGTTTATATGTGGCAAAGACACTGTTCAAGACTCACGTGAGGCCTTGCACTACATTGGATACTGCCCACAGTTTGACGCCTTGCTGGACCTTTTGACGGTGGAGGAGCATCTGCAGCTCTACGCTGGAATTCGTGGCGTGAGTAAATGCAACCGGAAGTTGGTGGTCGGTGAGTTGATGCATCTATTTCAGCTTACCACCTACCGCAAGACGCGTGCTGGCCAACTGAGCGGTGGTAACAAGCGCAAACTTTCTGTCGCCATTGCCCTTATTGGCGGTCCACGTGTCGTTTTCCTTGACGAGCCCTCAGCTGGCATGGATCCTGTTTCGCGGCGTGGACTTTGGACGGCGATTCAAAGCATTCCGAAGTCCTGCTCCGTCGTGTTAACAACACATCACTTGGAGGAGGTGGAGGCGCTGGCGCACCGCGTTGCCATCATGGTGAACGGCAGTCTACGTTGTCTGGGGAATAAAACGCATTTGAAGCAGAAGTATGGAAGCGGATTCGAAATGGCAATCCGCACAGAGGAAAGTGTCCCGCGAGCCAACGTGGAAGCGTTTGTCTTGAAGTATTTCCCATCAGCCACACTCAACGAGGTGCAGGGGCCTCGTTACACGTACGCGTTGCCGGCTACCGCCTCTCTTTCTGAGGCTTTCAGCGCGCTGGAAACGCACGGGGGAGAGATTGGCATCGCTGACTACGCCGTGTCTCAGACCAGCATTGAGCAGGTGTTCCTTCGCATCAGTGAACAGGCGGAAATTGACGAGACATCCGGTAGTCGTGCGGTATAGTAACTACAGCGTCAAACCGTGCTTGATCACGCGTAACTGGCGTGTTTGAAGGGAGCCGATAAGGGAAAGAGAGAGAGAGAGAGAGATAGATAGTCAGTGTGCACGAGAAGAGGAAGGCTACGAGAAGTGGGAATGTTCCTATTTAATGTGTTTTTGCCTCTGTGCACACACATGTAGGCGGAGAATATTTGGTTTGTTTGTTTTTTTACTAGTAACCGTTACACCTTTTTACTGTGTAGTGGTTTCTGTTTTGGTTGCTTGTTTTTCCTTGCACAATCCCAAATTGATTCGATGGGCCGCACTCCAGCCACCATCGTGGAGCACGTCAGTCCACACCGAGTGGGGAGGTGAACTAACCCTTGGTTCCTTCTGAGGGGGCTGCATTGGGTGGGGGGGGGACACGTGGGGCATGCACCCGCCCCGCCGTGCAGCCCACGCAGGTTGAACGCCGTTGCACCGTGTTCAGCCTTCGTAGCTGAGAACGAATCAATAAAACTCTACAACGAGAAAATAGTGAAATAATAATTCTTGGAAGAAGGGTACGAGGGGAAGATGAGGGGGGGGGGGGTTTTGCCCGTTAGTGGGCGCCTGCGTTTTGTCCGCGTTTGTACGGGGTTTTTTATTTTTGCCTTCTCTCCCTATGTAGGCGCCGTTGGTGTTGCTGACGGGGAGGGACGGACTCTTTTTTCACCTCGGGGAGAAACTGCGCCAACGTTTTCGTGAAACATACCTCTTGCGCGCCTTCGCTGTCTACCTCGCGTTTTTGCTGGCAAAGTAGGAGATGCAGACTGGTCACCTCACACAGTGTGCGCGCGCGGGCCGTCATTCGCGCTGCCCTGCCGCAGCGGCTGGGGGTTGTCCTTTTGCTTTGTTTTTGTTTTTCTTCGGGGAGGGGGTGTTCCGCCTCCTCTTCCCGCCGCGGCTTGAATATGTGCAGCAGCGCGCAGCCTCTATTTTTTTTTTTTTTGGTCGCTGCTCCTACCGTGAAGTCTTTTTAGCTTCCGCGGGAAATGCGCGAGAGCTCGCAAATTGGAGTCATACGCCCACCCACTCTACTTTTTTTTTTCTTACTGGGCGGTTCGTCGCTTTTTGAGTTCCGGCCGTTGTGCTGTTTTTACCATTTCTCACTCCCTCTCACAGTGCGGCTGAGATAGAGGATAGGGGGGCGCGCTTCATGTCACTGGCAAGTTCCCACAGCAGAGGCTTGAGCTGTGTGACAGTAAGGTGAAGGCGAAAGCCGAAACGCGAAGTCCAACGAAAGGAAGAAGAGCAAGGGAGGGGCCATGGCAGCAATGTACAGTGATGTTTTGGAGCTGGGGCGTGATGGTGGCAGCAGAGATGACAAGGTGGATGGGGTTGTGTTGTTGCGGAGCGACGCCTCGGAATTCACCCCTGCCGAACTTGAGGCCTTGAGCCGGCTGAATCTGAGTGACGTTCCGGCACCGAGTGCGAGCAGCGGCACCGTTGGCGGGAGTGGCGCTCACGATGGCGCTTGCAAAAGCGGCAAGGGGAGGAGGTCGCGAAATTTTTTTTCTCTTTTGAGTGGCGACCGCCGGGTCGGCTGTTGCTCCTTCAGGACCCTGCTTCCCCGTGCGGAGCTAGTGGGTGGCACCGACAGCATGGCCGACGCGGTGCTCAGTCGGTCTCAGCTGCACGTGGAGGGTCGTGCACTGCGTGATACTTCACTCGTGGGGTGTTTTTTGAATTTGACACATCTCTACATGCAACACAACCACATCGCCTCGCTCGATGGTCTCTCCTTGCTGGCCCAACTCACCGTTCTTGTGCTGCACCACAACAACGTGGAGTCGCTGCGGCCACTGGCAGAGCTCGTTGCGTTACGTTTTATTGATGCCCGGTTTAACTCCATCGCGACGCTGGATCCGTCGCAGGATCTTCCGAGGGAATCGCTGCGGTATCTCTCACTTCTGTCCAACCCATGCTGCCGCAGTGAGTCCGCGGTGGCCACCGAGCGAGATGCATACAGGCGGAGTATTATGGAATGCTGCCCGCAGCTCGAGGTACTTGACGACCTGCCGTGCCAAACACCTTCACCTTCCAGTGACGAGGACGACGCTGAGAGTTTGGAGGAAGCGGAAGCTGAGACGGAAGCTGAGTTGCATCAACAAGGGAAAGCGACACCGACTCCGCCGTCGCCCGACGCACCGGGGCACCGTAGTCATCTTCGCTCACGACTCAGTCGCCTGATGAAAGTGAGTCGAACACCACCTCAGAAGTCGCTCTTGCCGTCGTCCGCCGTGGGGAATTCACCCGGATCGAACGATGCCACAATGACTACTCGTTTGTGTCAACAGTTTGAGCATCGCTCTGGGAGCATACGTAAACAGGCATGCGACCATGCGCTTACAATGCCGTGCTCGGCTCAAGCTGGTTGGGCTGGCGGCCATGCCGAGAGCAGTGAACGCGATGGCGAAGATGGAGATGGGGAGAGGAATTTGCTGCCGCTTCCACTAGTGCAGGAAAGGGAGACAAAGTCGCGGCTTTACGCAGACATTCACTTTGCCTTGGGTATGGCAAATCTGCAGGCGCAGCAGGTGATGGGAAACGTCTGGGAAGATGTGGGAAAGGTGCTTCGCACGAGGCAGGCTCTGGTGAGTCATCGCCGTGAGCGGATAGAATTGCAGCGAAAACAGCCCTCTAGCGCCTATGCCGAAAGTCTCGCGTTGCTGCAAAAGGAACAGCACACTACAGATTTGGATAAATACCGCAGATGAGGCGAGATCGGTTGCGACAACACTCGCCGCTACCGTCAACATTGTTGCCACCGCTGCTGCTGGTGGCGGTTGTGGATTCCTGGCAAATGCTAAATAGACGCTTCTTTTGGGGCTGTTGCGCTTTGCGTCTACAGCTCTGCTGTTTTGATGCCGCTGACAAATAAAAAGAGAGAGAGACAGAGAGCGGGAACATTATTCCTCTCTTCTTCACTTCGCTCCTCGCCTTCTTTTTGGACGACGGCTGTGCGTTGGCAGAGGACCCCCGAGAAAGGTGCCGCAGGGACGTGGCGTACAGGCGGGAAGCAGCGGGGATGGAAGCACACGAGTAAGAAGGAAGCATAAATATTGTTCGTGCACAGATCACACACGCCCACTTCAATGCAGGGGGAGCAGACGCTGACGTTGCTTCCGTTCTGTTTTGTTAGGATTTTTTGGTTTTTGTTTTTGTTTTTATAGTATTCGTTGCTTGCGACAAAAGGGAGTGGGGTTTGCGATGGAGTCGAAGAGCTCTACTAATGGGTGTTCTAGGGATGTCTACGAGGAGATCCCACGGGGCTGTCGAGAAAAAATCTCCCTGCTCAGCAGGGAGGAAGTCGAAGCTGTTCTGCACATGTGCGATGATGTCACGGGCGATGACGCGGGGGCGGGCAGCATGACACACAGTGCAGCTGCAACGGGGACCTCAGATGCAACGGGCCAAACGAAGCGCCTTCAGTCGCGCCTAGCGGGGCTACCAATGTTTCTGCAGACGGAGGCGCTCGTTCTGCGGCGGCATGAGCAACAGTACCGGCAGTACATGAAGGAACTCATTGAACTGTCAGAGTGTATCGCCATGGTGTGCGATGGAACCCTGCGGCCGCAGTCGCCCAACACGGCGTCTCACCTCGCGGAGGATTCGCCGGCGGCTCGTCGCGCGAAGGATGCTGCTCTGCGGCGAATGTCACGCCGTGCCGAAGAAGTTGAAATATGTGCTCGTAATGAGGCGGTCGATCGCGTGCGGAGCGCGCAGCGGATGGTGTTGGCCGCCGCCGTTGCGAAGCACGGGAAGAGGGCAAGGCGAGAGGGGGGACAGGAGGAAGTTGATGAGGCATTGGGCCCGCGCAGACGGCGCATGTGATTGAAAGAAAGTGACTGGAGGAAGTTGAAGAAGAAGAAACAGGGATGGTGGGCGGAGTGAAGATGTGTAGACGAGACAAACAGAAGCCGCGCTGGGCTGAACGTTAAATGCAGAGTTGCTCTCAGTGATGCGACGGACGAGGGTGCATTTGCAGAAGAGGAAAAAGTATATATGTATATATGTACGTGTGGTGGTGTGTATGGCTTGCATCCTCTTTCCACCTCTCAGTGTCGTCGCATGGGCGTGCGTTCCTTGCTCGTTTTCCCTCTCCCTCTCTGTGTCTCCTCATTGCCGTTGCAGGTTACACTTTCTAGGATTGCGCTTAGTGGTAGATCATCCCTCTTTCGCCCCTACGCACATTTTTCCGCTTCGTCCCCGGCCTCTGTCACTGTCCTAGTGTCCATCCATCGCGCAGAACGTGAGGAAAACTCTCGTGGTGCAGAAGAAGCGCCACCCCACCACGGAGTAGGAGCCGCGAGGACGGGAAAGTAGTGGAGGGAAGAGGTCACGAAGGAGGCGGAGAAGAAAAGCAGCAGGGGATCCACCACTAAGTCAAGATGGCGTACGCCCTTCAGCCGTCGTCGTATGACGTAGAGGAACCGTCGTCGTTGAATGTCATCCCAAAGGTACGAAAATCGCCGAATCGGGCGGCGTACGCCCCGCACGACGCTTCCTACCGCCCGCAGCTCACCCTGGATCAGGTCGTTGGAGCGGAAGCGACGCCCCAACCAGCGCCCTTGCGGAGGGCGACGCAGCAGCCACCGCACAACAACACCGTTTCCCAAGTCACGGTTGGGTGCAGCGGAATAAACATGGGCGCTGGGGTGCTTGATCAGCAACGGCATTCACAGCCCTTACTCCGTATTGGGGTTACTCCGGAAGACACCGAAAAAATGCGGGATAGAATGTTTGCTTCTAATAGCAACTCTCAGTACGCCCAACCCGATGCGAGGCACTGCCTCGTTCATCCCCCAGCAAGCGTTTCAGGCACCAAAATCTGGACAAATAGACCATATCTTAGTGTGACGCTGGCACCGCAACTTGGCGACGCATCGGAGCGAAACTCCAGCGGGAGTTCGCTTGACAGAGCTGGCCCCATTTCAGACCATGGAGTCGTCCGAGAAAGCAGCGGAATTCAAACGCCACAACAGCAGTCAGACTTGACGACACCGCCGGTGCCACAATATGTACGGCAATCGCCTGTTGAAAATACGCACCCCAAATATGCGAAGTGCCCCCCACGGGCACTGGCTCCAAACGTGAATTCTTTCTACGGTGCAGAGCAAACAGGACAGGTACCGAATGGAGTAGTAGGAGGGGGAGGGGGAGGCTGGTGCTGCAGGGCTCCAGAACCTCAAGTGTACGGTGGCAATTTTCCTGGCCCAGGATATAATTCCCCATCACCGCATCCATCGTATCAGCAGCCGTATCAGAATCGTTACCCGCAACAACAACAACTACAACGACAACCACAACGGCAGCAGCAGCAACTACCTCCTTCTTCCTACTGTAATCCTCAACAAGACCCTCAAGGTTGGCGCATGGGGAATGACCCCCGGTATGGCCACAACGAACCCAACGGCTTTGTTCTGCCGCCCAACGTTCCTAACTATCCTGGGGGCGGTGGTAGCAACATGCCGATGATGCAGCCGTATAACAACAACTCGCAATTCCCTACACCACCGCCATCTATGCAGCAATGGTCCAATGGACCGGTTCAAACTCTGATGAGCGGTATGGCACCGATGGAGTCCGGGTCGCAGCGAACACCCTCGTCTTATTCGATGAGCACCAATGATGCTCTTGCGCGTTGTCCACCGCCAGTACACGTAGCCAGAGTTGGTGTTACTTCAAACTTATCACAAACTTCAGGCGCAAAATATGGCGGGATGTCAGCCAATTGGCGAGCAAATTCACGATACTCCAATACTTCACAGCAGCAGTCACAACAGCACCCGGTGCCATCAGATTACCGGTTTGATATGGGCAGCGGTTCTCCAGGGCCTTACCCGCATCCAGCGTCACTAGGGCTTCGCCTAGACCAACCGGACAATTTAGGTAATGATCACTTCTACAGTCAACCTCCAATGAATCATGAATTTGCCTCACATTCTACGGCACAAAATGCGACAAATTATCCACAGCAGCCCGGATGACGACAGCAGAGCATTCCGTCATCTGTGACTTCTAGACGTCGAAGTGTGGGACCTCCTGTGGATGCGATTACTGGCCAACTGCCACATTGTCCGCAGATGCATGTGTCTGGCCCAACTCCTCCTCTTCCTCCTGTTTCAGCGTGAAGAAGTGGCCAATGTCACGAAGTTTTTAAAATTTTATTTTATGTCCCAGCTAAGTGGAATATTTGCCGTTGTCTCTCTCGTTCAGGTGTCTTCAACGCAAGAAGAATCTGAGGGCCTGAGGAGAAGAATGCATCCTTCCCTGAATCGTCGAGAAGGTGTAAGCAACAAATGGGGTCTTATTGGATACCAGTTAAATTTGGTGGAGTTTAGGGTGATATGTAGTCTTCTGTGGTTTTCACACGCGGCAGCGACAGAGATGGGGACAATTGCCTGATGGGTCAACTTTTTCACACCGGCCCGTGGGGGAGCCTAGGGAAGACGCCGTGGTGGGTGACTCTCCCGATGTCGAAGGCGAGGCAACTCCAACAAACGGCCCCTTGAAAAAGAGGAGGGGGTTGCCAAAGATCAGTGAATACGACTGTGTCTTAGGGAAGGGACGTAATAATGCGAATGAATCAAAGGGCTAATTGTGGTAGGAAGAAGTAGGGGCGGGGGTTTGAGTGGGGCATCCAAATCACGTCATTGTCGGGTTGGATAGGTGGAAAGCCGAAGGGAGAAACGCGTCCTAG